AGCCATTGCCTTTGCTTTTGGTATAGAGTTTGTGTATTTATACAGTATTATTTTGTTGGTGCTAGCACATATTCAATTTAATTATTTGAGATGTGTGCTTCGGTAATTCAGAATTCAGTGAGGACACTCATGTATTTTCCATGCATTCATTTTCTTCAACAGGGACTGTGTAGCCCTTAATAGAAACAAGAGTATCATTGATGGAAGGCTTGTACAGCTGAGACCCAAAGCGACTTGAAAGAAGCCACCAGGTAGGCTTTTTTTTTCTTCTTCTTCTTCTTTGAACATGTTCTTTATGCAAGATGTTTCTGGAGAATTTTTCTTTAGGGCACTTCTATGAGTTCAAACAAAATAGGGTTCAAATCTAATACTCTGCAGAGTACCACTTCTGAATCTTCTCTTACAAGGCTGCAAGGCCTAATGTGTGATTCTAACGTAACCTTGAGCTGTGTAACTTCAGTGGAGTTTGTGACCTGAGCGATCAGGAGCCAGCAATAGGAGCCCAGGTTTGTACAAGAAAAATTTGGCCTGGGTCTTGTGAAGAGCAGTGTGCTGGGCTGAAAGCTGCCAAGGGGAAGCCATGCAGAAGTACTGGGGAGATTTGCAGGGCTTAAATATTCTTCTCCTCCCTCTCTCAATGGCTTTCATGTCCTGTCTGTCCTTATAGGAAAAATGAAACAAAAACAAAAAAAAACAACAACAAAAAGATTCATTGGATAGGCAAAATGCATCTGACTATTTAAATTAATGCTTGAATTACTGGGTAGAAATGACTCCTAGTTACACAGTATGATTATATGTATGGCATATATCAGCACTGGTTAATGCAAGTAAACGGCACCAAAAGTATCAAGTGGTTTCAAAGTCAATAATATATTTTTGCATTGTTTTAAACTGCAGATCATTCTGGGTATAATTTTTCCTCTTGTTTCTGAGGGACTTTTGAAAGGTTCAGGTGCCTGGGACTGGAACACTTGCTGAATACTTTCTTTATAATACAAACCAAATAATCTATTGTTTCTGTAGGCAAAATGTATTACTGTCTTAAAAGACAAGTGACACAAAAGACTTCCTTAGCAGAGTTTGAAAAATGAGGGATGTATGACACTCTTAGAAATTCTTGAAGTGAATCACAGCTTTGAAATTCCTTGCAAAGAGAAGCAATGAGACCTCCCTAAACTGTAAATGAGAATCTATGTATATCCTATCAGGTGATATTTCACAACACTTTCTATGTACTCATTTCTAAAACACCTGAGTGGCAAACTCTGTTTAAATAGTGAAGTTTGTGTGTGGTGGTGATGCTTGTTTGTTTGTTTTTCTTATATGGTATAATTGAAAGCTTGATGTTTGAGGAAGGCTAACTTTGGTAAGCAGGACCTATGACATCCCCCTGCCTGCTGTGCTGTAGCTTTGCTGTGTGAACTTGGAAGATGACTTAAGTTAATAGTGTGCCATTTCCTATACTATATTACCTATCAAGGATGTTGTAAAGTTAATTTTTATTTTATTATACAGCCCAGTGCTAGCAGTGTACTTAACTGATGGGCATTGAGAATCATAGAACCATTATGGTTGGAAAAGACCTTCAAGATTTGAGTCCAACTGTAAACCCTTCAACACTATGCCTGCTAGACCATGTCCCTAAGTGCCTCATCTCTTTATGTTTCCTTTTTCTCTTTTGCAGCAACTGTATTAATATGTCTGTACACACAGCCTATTCTTGTAATTAGTGCAGAGATAATGATTTAGCTAGTAATAATTTTTCATGAATAACTCCTCTGGGACTCTGTACAAACTCTTCTGGGATGGTATGATGCTATAACTGGCTTCAGTTATACTATCAGGCACATTGTACATGAGTCAAGCATTTAAAATGTCTTACACTAGTGAAAGTATACTAGTCTTTATATGAAAACTAAGTCTATCATGCATGTAGTGGCAAACTTTACATGCCAAATGTAAAATGTACTTTAGATGCCAAATATGTTTTGAAGTTCCAGTATTTATCATTACAAGCTCTGTGATGGGGCTATGAATAACAGCTGAGTGTGTGTAGCATTTGCACACATTAACTGTGGTGTGTTTGCCACCTGGCCAGGCTCTCTGGTCCACCTGGTTTCTCTGGCCATCCCAAGGCAAGAGAGGCTTTCAAGTGAGTATAGACAAATTTCCATTTCTTTCTCCATCTTCTTTCTGATGATCTTCTCTGCAAAAATTGTGCTGATCTATTTTTAATAACATAATACTGCATTCCCCTTGCTAGGGCATATGCACGTTGATTATCTTGTAGTGCCAATGGTGCCTAACCCCTTGGCTTTGAGTTTGTCTTGACTCCTCATTTGCTCACACAGGACTCGGTGAGGACTTTATTCAGCACCAGTAACAAGCAGAATCAGCTTCACAATCCTTGGGAAATGTGTGAGGTTCTTCTGGCTTCTGCTTGCATTTAGATCTTGTGTATCCAGGAACTACTTTTTATTTATGGAGCTCCTGCTTGGTTGGGCTGTGCTGTAGGGCCGGCTGTGCTGGTGTCGGAGGGCTCTGGACCCCGATACAGCATCTGTCGGCCGTGGAGACACTTGTGCTTAGCTGAGTGTCTGCATTTGCTCCTGATCATGATCCTGTTTTAATAACTGCTGTCTCTAAGATGTGATCTTTTGACTTAGCAAAATAATTAGACTTAACAGAATAATTAATACAATTTTCCTAAGCACTTGTTGCCTGCCGAAATCCCTTCCAGAGTGTTGGTTCCTGCACACGTACCACCTACCTGCTTTCTCCTACTTGGCAAGAATAGCAGTGACATCTGGTGGCTGCAGGGCCTCAGGGACAGAATAAAAAACAATTCCTTACTTCACTTCCTTAAATTATTTTTTTTGAATTTAATATAGTGCTAGAGATAAACATAAAGGGCAGCTTAATGATTATAAATAAACAGTTTGCCGCTGGATACTTTTTTTGTTGAGAAAAAGAGTGCAAAACTGTAGGTAATAAGCTGTGATGCGCCCAAAGTGAATCGTGAGATCCACTACCTCCAATGTCAGTATTAACTGTGCTTTCCTTCCCTTCCTTCACTTCAGATTATGAAGCGGCAATAACACAAATTAATGGGGATATTGTTGCATTAGTCCATCTTTGTCTCATTTATCCATGATAACTGGAAACTCCAGGGCCTAAGTAGTGGCTGAGACTTTGCTGATGATGTGGCAAGAGACCAGGGAATTATTGGCAGGACGTGCAATCCCTCTTATTTTGCAACATAAAACATTACACATGCAAGGACATAAGGAAACTTCACTATAAACTGCAAGCTGCTGTGTTCATTTTAGTGAGGTTAGTCTCCCAAAGGAAAGTATGTGAGGCCCTGCTTTGCATGTTGAGAGCTGTAAGGTACAAAGTGATCAATCCCTGTGAGGTCTCTGTGAAGTAAATACAGTTTATTGTTTATAGTAACAAACAAGCTAGCAGTTGTCTTTACAGAACGTGGCATAGCATAAATCTTTTCTTAACTTCTGTTGTTTTCTGTTGCTGTCTAAAACATTTTTTTTTTTAGTTTAAATGCTCTCCTTTGAGTTGTTATATCCTTCTATAGTTTTGTAATATATGTAATGTAATATACTTGCCATGTGCTAGAATCACAAATCTTAGAGCTAGTGAATAAAGAAAAAGCATGGCACAACATGGAAATTCAGTGTTAAATATACACATACACACACATGTTCTTTAAGATACTCAGTTACTGAATATTTTAAGTTACTCTTTGTGGGACGTTAGCGAGATGGCCCAAGCCTGCTAGTGAGATAGATGCCAGTGTGGTGCTGATGATGACATGGGGAAATGGCAGCCCAGGAAGGAGATGGCAAAGCCAGTAAAGTTGGTCCCACTTGTAGACTGCAGGTAACAAGAGTGTGGCTACCTCAGTGGCATGTGAAAATGACCCTTGGGGACTGAAACGGGCTTAACTGGCATTAACTGTCTGAAGCAGGACTACGCTTGGTGTGGTGGGGCCTGCTTCTATTCCTATCACTCTGCAAAAATGCATCTCTCCTTCCTCCTCTTTTTGGGCTCTCCTTTAGCCCTTGGGGGTAGAGATCAGTTGGGGAGCTGGAATGAGTTGTAGGGACGAGGGCTTTCCCTGCCCCAGCCAAGAGCAGGGCTGGGGCTGTGGTGAGGAAGGGACTGGCCTCTGTTGCAGGAGTTTCCTGGGTAGGTTGGGCCCCAGCAGCAGCCCAGGGCTCGGCAGCCCTGGGGGTCTCTGCCCAGGGAACTTCCTCACTGTGGAACTGCTCTGAGTGCTGGTGGATATGTAGTTCGGGAAATCCCTCTGGAATCTCAGAGGAGAAGTCAAACTTGAAACAGAAACTTGAAATCAGAAACCACTTTCTTCCTATATGTCATAATAAAATATTCTGACTTCTCCAGGACGTAATTTTAGGGAACCCTGGCTGCTGACGTCAGCCAAAATTGACAAATATCCTCTGTCGGGCAGTATCCTGCAACCAGCACAGTGGAGGAGCCCAACACGGGCGCCGCGGTCTGCACCCTTGCCTGGCCGAGGGAGCTGCCCGCGCTGGCGCTGCCAGGCCCTCCTGCTCAGCCCCGCCAGCTGCCCTGGCCTCCCCGTGCCCTGCGCCCGTTCGAGGGTAGTCACGGTCTGCCTCATGTGTGTTACTGGGAAAAGGGCTGCAGAAAGTGAGTTGTGCTCTGCTTTGTGAGACTTCTTGGCCAGAAATACAGCCTATAACTAACTCTGTTTTCTTCAGACAATAAGTAAACTTTCCACATTGCTATAGTAAGAAACAGCTTGTCAGGTGATTGGTAGGCTTGAAGTGTGTTGGTCCATGGAGATACAGACACTCTAGAAATCAAGCTAATATATCCAGCCAGCGTAGCACGTGGACCACTGTGTAATTTGCCAAAAGTAGTATTTTCACCTTCCCATCCTGAGGTATCTGAAACCTGAGGTATCTGAGCTATTTATTCAGCAGTGCATATACCGTATAAGTATCTGCTCCCTGTCCTGCCCCAGGAGCTCTGCTGTTATCTGGGCTAGAAAAGGTCCCATTTGGCTCTGTAGAAGTCCTTGTTACTAAGGAATAAAGGGTCTCCTTTCTGTGCATGTCACTGCTACCACTCACTGCATATGGGGAACCTGTAAAAAACAAAAGAATTAATGAATTTCACATAATTAAAATTGATTAATTTATTTGGATGCTACTTCATATTTGATATTTTGGTGGTATTTTAATCTCTTTTTGGGTGTAGCACAGAGAAGATCTGCCCCATTTCTCCTAAGAGCTGGACTGTCTTCTGCTGTAAGTTAGAACTGAGTGAGGCACCAGCAGTAGAGTATTGACTGCAATACTGAATGTCTGTGAAAGGCTAATCTAGAGACATTTCTTCATGGTCTCCCTGCTGGTGATACAAAGACCTTATATCATTACTCTGTGTGGAGAATGAAAGCCTGAGACAGAGAGATTCTCTCAAAGGCAAAATGGAGGCAGGAAAAGGAAATGCAGTCTGTGTCTTCCAATTCTCTTGTAATATTTTATGTGTACTGGTTTTCTCAGATATCCACAGGTTGCTTAAATCTCCTTAGAATGTTTTTAATTGCAAAACAGAATTAGCATTATGTGACACTTAGACTATAAACAGTGAACAAGAGTTTGTCTATGCAGACAAGTCTGGAACAGTGTGAACAGCTATTGAACAACAGCTTATTCGTCAGAATTTCCTTTAGGGATCATCTCTACATCAATACTTATTTTTAATTCTCTTTGGAAGCTAATTAACATTGTTCTTTAGAGGCTTCAGCGGGAAAATCTTTATCAGTATAGAATCACAGAATGGTTGAGGTTGGAAGGGACCTCTAGAGATCATCTAGTCCAACCCCCTGCTCTAGCAGAGCTTGTGGCACAGAGTGGCATTCAGGCAGGTTTGGAAGATCTGCAGAGAAGGTGACTCCACAGCCTCTCTGGGCAGCCTGTTGCAGTGCTCTGTCACCCTCACAGGAAAGACGTTCTTCCTCATATGGAGATGGAATTTCCTGTGTTTCAGCTTGTGCCCATTCAGCTTATCCTGTCCCTGGCCACCACCAAGAAGAGTTTGGCCCCATCCTCCCTACATTCTCCCCTCAGGTATTTGTACATGTTGATCAGATCCCTCTCAATCTTTTCTTCTCCAGCCTCAACAGGCCCAGCTCGCTTAATCTTTCTTAATAAGATAGATGTTCAAAGTCATCCTAAAGAGCATCTGTCCTCCAAATTCTCCCTATAGATACCCTATGGGTAGCTATGGGTCCTCCCATTTAGACAGACCCTGATAAATCTGTAATGCAAGACATCCTAAGAGTACTCTGAAGATAAGCAAATCAAATGTTCAATCAAAACTTTATGCTTACATTCATATTCTGTCATTCCAACAACATCACGATCTCTAAAATAAGAATAAGAAGAGCTGTTTATAGTCACTGTATACTGTGTAGATATCCTCAAAAATAACTTTTGATGTTCCATTAGATATGTCATTTAATGGCAGTACCTTGTAAATTGTGTGGTTGTTTCCTTTCCTGAAATGGATAAAGCAGGTTATAAAGCATTAGTAATTAAAATGTTCCTGTAAATGATATATTTTTTTTACTTCATTTCAAGAAAATAATTGAACACAATCCTTACCTTTTGACTTGAGTATCCTCAGGTAGATCAGTCCTACTATCATGCTGAGAAAAATAATCCCAGCTACAGCTCCAGAGATGATATACCACTGCATAGCTAAATAAAATTGATTATATTTTTAACACATGAATCAGTAGTGACATTTGGATCAAGATATTAATCTGCAGTGTTTTGCAAGTGATCACTTGATGTTTATCTGCTGTGAGCATAATTTACATATATAATGTATATCCTTATTATGGATGACTGCAAAGTGTCATATTTGAGGAAGTGACTTGATTTCTGTAGCAAGTTTCCCTCATTTTGAAATAATTACTACATTCATTTATACTGATGACCAAGAAAATAAATATTCACAGTAATGATAATGCAATATCTTCGAGGATTGCTTTAGGATGTTGTCCAATATACATTCCACCTTGTGTAAGGAAGCGGGGAAGGTGGAGGCTCTCTGCAACCCCTGCTGCACCCTGCCCCTTTTGGAGGCCTTAGGCTTACGGCCCTTCCTCGGTATGGTGTGACTTTGGCTTTTCCTAAAAAGGTTTATGTATATCTGGGGTTAAAGATGTGTTTACATCATATAATGTGATAGTGAAAGGCAATTGTCTACACTCAGATTATTCTAATTAATTCCTTATTCCGTTCACTTGTCATTTTAAAAAAAAATAGAGTGAGATCATAAACCATTCCCACTGTTGTTCATTTTCCTTTGTTTGCAAACAGTCTTTTGTATTGCAGATCTGGAGTTAATTTTATACATGATACAATGAATAATCATCCACAAAGCATTGAACGTGAAGTGGTGGCCAAATGGTCCCTGATATGCTGCCACTTCAAGATGTACAGTTACTTTCTCCTTAAGTTATTTAAATGAGTGATTGATTCCCTGGAAGAAGAATAATCGTAGGAAATGAATGATTTTTAAATGAATTGCTGTGTGTTTGATCACATTATGCGGATGTAGGATTATCTGTGGCTTGCCTTAATGCCATGATACAGAGTGTATAAAGCACACAAGGGCGATTCCCTGCAGAGCGCGGATGTTCCCGTATAGGCTATGAGGAGTGTAGGGAAGCTTACCTGCCGCTGGGTCTTTCTGAAGCACCACTGTCCAGTTCCTAGCAACTTGCCACTTGTATTTGCCATTCTGCCACATAGCAACAACACATAAGTATTTCCCACAGTCAGCACTTGTGGTGTTCACAATAGTCATGCTGTGGCTTTTGTGCTCAGAACTGAAGTTTGCAGTGGAAAACAGTCTTGCCTGGATGTCTTGGTCAATGCAGCAGTGCTTCATAACAGTCAAGTCTGGGGACAGGTCTTCAGTTGTAGCAGAAAAAAGGCATTCACTTGTTTTACTGACTCTGATCCAGTACATAATAAAGCTCTGTTCTGGGCGGCTAGTATAAAAATCACAAGTCAGAGTGATGTTATCTTTTTCTTTGAATGTGAGAGAGGCTTGTGGTTTTTCCTGAATGTTGTCTGAGCTCTTGTTCCCTGAAACAGAGAGGGGAGAGAAAACACAGGAGATACTGCAGATAAGATTTATCTAGCAATAGTTTGAAAAGTTACATGACAAACAAATGCTATCTTGAGCACAACTGAAACGATGATCTACATGTAGTTCAGTTAAAGTATTGCTATGGTGTGTATTCCGTGATTAGCCCAGGCTAATCTGTATGTAGCACAGAAGCAAAGCCCTGTGAAGTGGTTCTGCCATGGGGATAAACAAGTTCCCAGGCAGCGGCCTGGGCCAGCCAGGCCCTTTCCTGCACTTGAGGCAGCCCAGGGCCTCTTCCATGTGTCGCAGGTCTTAAATGGGTCTAACCTGTTGTGAGTGTTGTCTAAGAACAACATTTAATAAGCTTGTAGAAGATTTAGAAATAAGAAAACAGCTATTTAAGCCCAGCTACCTACAGCAGTCCACCTGTGCTAAACATTAAACAGGGTAGTGGGAGAACAGCAGCCATTTGCTTGTATATCTAGATTAATTCACTTGCTATAGAAAAAAAACTCTTTCAACTATCTGAAATTTACATGGCCAATTTTCCATTTTACCATTAGCCAGCAAAAACACATAGCTCCTTTTTGATGCCAGGCCTCTCAAGAGTGTTCTGGATGGGCACAGAGCAGCGATGTTCACTAGTTCATTTATTGGGAAGAATTTCATAGTCTTAGTCCAAAGCTTTTTAAAACTTTTATGCTATTTTTTCATTTGCCATCCAAAAAGACCTGAAGCCTTGGCAAAAATCTCATTGTGGATGCAGGAATTCAGAAAGCAGAGTTAAAATAGGACTGTTGGTGCTGCATTATTTGTAGCTTAAAGTTCTTTTTTTTTTTTTTTTTCTAAATCAAACTATATCATTAACACATGGCTCACTTCTCTCTCAGTTATTCAGCTTTCTCATTTCTCCTAGATTCCATGTTTATGATTTCTCTTCCTACGTTCCATAAGTCGCAGTCACGTTCACCCTTACTCACTAAGCTCCTTCTCTCCTCTGAATAATTCCTTTCTCGTGTCCAAGATAAATCTTTGTGTCTAAGACAAATGTCCTAAGATTTTTTTTTTTGAAGAATAATAATAATAATTTTTCCTTACGAGAAAATGGTTTAGCTGTTGCCACAGGACAACACTCTCTAAATTAGCTCTTCTTTAATGCAGACTCTCCAATGTCATTTATTAGCCTTCAAGCTGAAGATGAGCTTATTGAGAGAAACATAGAAATAGATATTAAAATAGATAATAAAGAGCATCACTCACCTGAGCCAGTGATGGTCTGTGGAAGATAGAAGTTATAGTGCCTGCAGCGAGACACGTCACTGATCAGCAGGGAAGTCACTGGTTCCTTATCGCCTGGAATCGCTCCACAGGCAAACATGGTCCCTTCCAAGAAACTGTGTCTCACCGCTGAGGTATAGCCGCAGGGTGTTTCTGCGCACGAGTGAGTGCACGAGGAAGCACATCTAATTAATGTGAATTGTTGCATATTGTTTTCTGTTTTATACCAATCTATTGTCTTATTTTCTGTGGTAGCTGGATGATTGCACTGAAGTGTGAGATTTCCATGTTCTTGCTGGTAAAAGAAGATCTCACCTGTTACAAATATTTACATGGTTAATAAAGCAAAATTTTCTGTAAAAACAGCCAAAGCTTTAAAAACTTAAAATTTGTGTTGTCAAAACAACCAGCTGCATTGCCAGTGTAGTGAAGGACCCTGTCCTCCTCAGGGAGCTGCTGTGTTCCTCTTAGATGTAGTTATTAAGACAAAACTTTCTGAACTCTTCGACTGGAATGAGCAGTGTAGTGATCATAGCATCACTCAGGTTTACCAAATGATAGTGATATGGGATGGCTACTCAGTATTTTTAGTCAAGTAATTTTTGTGGACATTTCTGATCACATTAATGATACTAAACACAATTTAAAGATTAAAAAAAAATACGAATAGGTATTTCTTTAGTTTAAAATCCCACATAAAATAGCTTGAGAAGTAAGAAAGCACAGTCATACACTGCAGTCGTGGTGTGGCAGGTTTAGTCTGCTGTCTTTTTGCATCTTATAGGCATAAATGCAGTTTCTAATGTTGCCAACACACAGGCAGTTGGAACTGCTCATATGCAGAACATGACTAATGCATCGCTGCTGACTGCAGAACCGGAGCTGACTTCTTTATGAATATTTTATGGCGCATGTATCCAAAACGCAGCCAACAGCACATTTCAATATTCTTCTTTAAAAAAAAAAAGTGACTAAGAAATGAAACCATTTTAGTTGGTCAGTCCTTCGTGTGTGAAGTCTCCACAGCCAGCAGCAAATATTAAGTAGGGCTGCATCTGTTTAAGTCGAGGGTGGATGGTTGTGTGCAGGCAGACTACCTGAGCTTTTACATCTTTATATTTTGTAATAGTCTACGAAGAGTGAGATTGAGAACTGTTTTTAAAAGAGGAATGAAAATGATTGAAATTTTTCTGCCTGTGTCTATCTAGATGGCTGTGAAAACTCTCAGTTGAGGTAAGTGGCGGAGATGTGAGTCACTGCTTGCAGCTCCCCCGCTGTCCGTGCTGGTGCCTAGTGGAGCGGGCACGGAGCTGCCGGGCGCCCGGAGCCCGTGGGGAGCTCCCCATCGGCACCCGCTCCCCGTCTGCCGGCCGAGCCGCCCCTGCTCCTCTGCGGAGCTGCTGGAGCGAGGACGGGCTCTCGCCTGCAGCTCCACGGCAGGGCCCTCCCGCAAGGGGCGCGCGCCTCTAGCTGCTCCCTAGCACGTGCTGGGGGCCTAAGCCCTGCAGGCACCGACTTTGCTCAGGTGTCTTACATGTACGTATATGTGTAAGACACTTGACCAAAGCATATGTGTATATATGTACTATATGTAAAAAGAAGCAAAGGAACAGGTTGCTAAAGAGAGAAATGAGAAAACGTACCCTACCTGTTATTTCTCCTAGAAAAGCCAGGATCAATAGGAAATACATTCCTCTCTGCTAGTGGGGGACAGTGTCTATCCGTTTCACTCGCTGTCTTTCCTCACTCCAAATGGCGCTCAGGAAGAGGGGAAAAAAAAAAAAAGTGAAGTGGTGACAAGGCACCCAGCGGTTCTCGCTTTCCTTCCTGTAAGTGCCCTGCGCTCGCAGTGTCATCTTGGCCTAAACTACTTAGAGATGAAACGGAACGACAAGAAGTCAAGGGCTGCCGTAGACACCAGTAGCTTGGTACTGTCTGTGTAACACAGTAGTGTTTGCTGCTTTTGTCACTTCGAGTTCTGCCTGAAGTTTGCTTTGGCATTTGGGTTGATTTTAACATAAGAATATTCAGAGTTGGAGCCTAGATCTTCACTGGTGTGACTTCAAGGAAAGATGGCTGTCTAAAAGACATGAAAAAAAAAAATGGTGTCCCTTTGCCATTTTCTTCTCTCATGGCTGAGTGATTTCTGTTGGGAATTTGGAGTTCTGAGGGGATTGCTTTGCTGTGTATTCTGCTCAGAGTAGCTTCCAGCTGCACAGTTACAGACATTTATAACTTATTTCTGTAAAGTGGTAGAGGGAAAAGAAGATAGAGCTTCTGATTCCAGAAACTGTTTCTGAATTGCAATTTATTATTAAATCTGAGGATATTTCAGGCTCTGAAGTAGCACCTGGCAGCCTTACTTGTCTGTTCTCTTTATCTTATACTGCTGAAAGCCATTGTAGTGACCACGTTTGACACTTGGTATCGCGCTTTGAACTGGGACAGCCAAATAGCACTCAGCTGAGAGAGCTGCCTGGGTTCAGTGCTGAGCTTGTCACACCTTGAGGCAAGAGCGCTCCCTTCAGAGCTGAGGATTCGAGCTCTCCTGTGGGTCCCTGCTGTTGCAGGAGTTAGAAGGTATTCTGGGGATTTCCTGCTTTTGTTCACAAGGTCACAGTCCCCTGCCCCACAATGTTGTCTTTCTACCCTTGCTATATATTTATATGTAAAATGAAAGACCAGGGAAAAAAATCTGCCTCACAATTTAATGAACTTTTGTGTCTCTTAAACTTCATGGCAGACACAGACTGTGAAGACCTCAGAGTTGTACTGTGTTTTTATTCGGAGTATTGCAAGAATACAAACAAAACCCAGTCTCTAGTATAAGCTATTTCAGTTCATTGGAGGAGTAGGAGTACGAACAGTCTGTGGCAGAATAGGCAGACAGGATGCTGTAGGCCTAGCTTGGGCAGAAAACTGGAAAAAAAGAGAAGAGAGAAATTGAAAGGGAAAAACAAAACAGTTTATTTTTTCTATTGTCCAAAATAACTAAAATGCAGCAAGCAGGTAGGAACATAAATTATGGCAAGTGAATAAATGTTTCAGTTCTTGTGGATGCAGACTTTTATAAACATTGTTCACTTCTGTAATTTCTAGCTTTCTTGTAGTCTTGAAGCCTGTCTCGTGCTGCATCCACAGGCAGCCCTTCCCGGGCTTTGCTGCAGAGGGTGCCATTCGCTCACCCCATTATTCCATCTTAGCTCTTTTTCTCTCTCTCCCAGCTTTTTCTACTTGCTTTTTACAGCTTTGTTCCACTCTTGCTTTCCTGGATTTTTCTGCAGTACCCTGCTGGACTGTCCTTTTCCACCTGCTACCAGAGATGCCAGGTAGATGGTCCAGGTTCGGGACGAACATGTGCCATGGTCCCCTGTGTATAGATACAGATCCTTTACCTTATCTCCCATCTCATCTTCCAATTTAGAAAGGTCACAATATTTAAATATATGAGTTAAGTTTATTATGTTGCTCATGAGTCATTTTATTCTACAACTACATTATATAACACTATTTAGTTCACACACACATACACACAGGATAGTTGTAAAACTAAACAAAGGTTTTCTAACAGTATCTAGGTTTTGAAAATCGGTCTGTTCAGTGCCAATTTTGTTTCCCAGGAAGTCAGTATAGAAAGTCACTGTAAAAATGTCCATTGACCTCAATGACAGTAATCCATGTTGAGACAGAGCACCTTGCCAACCTGATCCTAAACAAGTGATACCAACTTGTTTTTAAAAAGAAAATAATACCAGTGAGAGTGCAGATGCTTATATATATAAGCATATAACTGCCTGATGAAGCCTACAAAACTAGGGACCACTGATAACATCTTCAGCAAATCAGGTGCCAGCTTCGCCAATAGATTACTCCGTTTCACACAGCTGCAAACGTCCTGAACCTGGTGGGAGTAGTGCAGTGGCAGAGCAGCACCCGAGGGCCACCAAGGGTCTTGTCAACTGGTCTACTGAAAGCTTGTGTTTGTCACCTAGAGCAACATACAGACCTGGAGGCAGCAGCATGTCATTTGGTACATGCATTTCAGCCAGGTTACACTCTGGAACAAGGTTGTAGCCTGGCTGTTTAGACAGCAAGCAAGTTGCTCTCGGACACAGTCCTGCCGTCACGGCCCAGCCTCTGCCCATGCTGGAAGCTCCTGTTTCACCTGCTGGATCTGCTTCTGGAGTTCATCTTTGTCGAGTTTCATTTTTGCTTCTAGAACTTGCCGTAAAGACCCAATGCTCTCATAGATAGCTGCAAATCCTAATTGCAGATGAAAGTTCAATTAGTTTTAATCAAAAGAGTATGAGAACTAATATCAGGATACACTAGCTACCATAACAGTTCATGTTTACACTAGGAGGATAGCAAAATTCCCCAAGAAAAATAGGGCTTTAATTGTGATGGTGTGCTGATAGCAAGGAAATGCCCCTTTGTATATTCTGTAATGGGGGGGTGGAAGTGGGTAGCTGGTAAGATGTCACCTCTTGTTGCTCTGGATTTCAAAGTTAGTGAAAATGCCTTTGGATGCCCCAAGCGTAGGCAGCCATCCCATCTGTCCCCCTCAGACTTCAAACTACTTGCTACAATCAGACACATTTTGTGAAATATTATAGGTCAAGCACTGCCACCATAATTAGAATAAAGAACTTGTTAAATGTGCTCCTACCAGCATTAACTTCAGCTTTCATTTCTTTTATATCTTCATTAATCTCACTTTGAAGTTTGCTGATACGGACATTTATCTTTTCTTCGGTTTGTTTCGCTTCATGTGCTTCCGTGGTTATCTTTTGTAGTTCTTCTATTTTATCAATTTTTTCTGACATTTGGTTGAATTTCATTTCTATAGCCCTTTCACTCATTTCCTGGTGCCAAGAAAAATAATTTTAATGGATTACTCTGCATATGAAGTTAGTGTCATCTTTTCCAGATAAGCAAAAGGTGTCAATTAATCATAATTTTGTATGTGAAATTTAAAGGTTTAAGGAATTGTACTTTATTTCATAAAATCTTAAATAAAATCTGGCCTGATTACTGTAAGCTAAAATACTGATGTGTTTAAAAATGTTCACATTTATTTCAAGATTCTCAAGCCACATGAACATTATAATTGAACTCAGTGGGAAGAGTTATAGAGATACTGAAAGATCTACTCAAATAATAGGTCAGTTATATTGGTATTAATAATGTTTTTGTGTACTTTCCGAGAAATATTACTAAACACTTTTATTGAAACTTACAGTGTTTTCCTTAACAGTCAGTGAGAACTGGTCAAGTTTTTGTACAAGCTCTTTCTCGATCCTCTCATGTTCCTGTTCAAGCCAGCTACGTGCAGACAAAATCTGGCTGCTGAGTTCCTCAATAGCAGTTTTTAATCTAAGAATGTAAAAAAAAAGATAGGAGATGTAAGACAGCAGAACTTTTGGTCATTCAGCAGTGGTTGTGATTACTTTCATAAAATTTAATGATAATTTAATACATTCTTGGCATATTAAAGTGAAATTATGAATTCTAAGGCTGTTACATTGGACAAAGTAACATATTTAATGGTTTTAATAAGCATGAAAGAACACACCGAAATAGCAGTTATTCATTTGAATCAAATTACAACATTTTGAGGCAATATTCTTCAAAAACAGATGCAAATAATATATCTGCTCCTAATAGAGATACAAATTCTCCTCGGTTTGGGGAACGGAATATGATCATCCATTCATGTTACAGTCTTTGTGTCCATGGGTCTTAAGTCTGAATACAGATTTGATAACCATTTCTTCTAGTAGCAATGAGAGTTTGCATGGCCCTGACTTGTTCTCCTACATGTATCTCCAGTTTACACCAGCTTCTTGTGCCAGTAAAACTGTTTCTTTAGATAGACTGGGGAAAGATGAAAGCAAAACAAAACAAAAAACCTACTCTGTTTTTACAGTGAATATTTGAAATCTGGATCTCTTATCTGTCTGTTGGTTTGTTTTGTTTGTTTGTTTAATAGTTTTATTGTCATAACTGATGTGATTGCGTGAGGATGGCAATAGCAGTAAGGGGGAAGTTCAGGGAACTGAAGTCCGAACTGCCTCTGGATGAAAGCATGCAGAGGAGCCCATATTTGGATTAAATATACACCTGTAAGTGTCTAGTAGTAGTTTAAATTCTCAGCTGTTTCCGTTGTTAGTTCCCTGCTGATAGTTGAGTCTAAAGCAGTGGGCCTGGCCTCCCGGGTTGCCGGACACTCAACCCTTGCACGTGCTACTCTGCGTGTTGCATCTGTGCCAAACGGCTCCACACTCCTGCAGGGACACCCGTGGGCACCTTACGGCGAGCTCGGCGTGAGTATCTAGCTAGGGGCTTGCTGGGATTTGCAAAGCTGCCTCCCCACAGAATGGTTGAGGTTGGAAGGGATGTCTAGAGATCATCTAGTCCAACCTCCCTGCTCCAGCAGGGACACCTACAGCTCGTGGCACAAGGTGGCATAGGGTGGATCTGGAAGATCTCCAGAGAAGGAGACTCCACAGCCTCTCTGGGCAGCCTGTTCCAGTGCTCTGTCACCCTCACAGTAAAGAAGTTCTTCCTCATATGGGGATGGAACTTCCTGTGTTTTAATTTGTACCCTTTGGCCTGCCCTTTCTAGCTCCACTCCCCATGGGGCTCTGGGCTTTCTCACTCTCTTAACCCTGACCCTAACCCTAAGCCTGAGGTCACCAGGCCTAGCGCTGGCTAACCCACAAATACCAGATTGGGAGCTTTTTTCTCTTTGCAAACGAGGACCAAGGGACAGCCCGTGTGACACTCGGGTGTTCAGACTCACTTGGTGTCCAGCTGGTGGAGCTGCTGGCCGCTCTCCTTGTAGGCGAGCTTCAGTCGCGCCTCCTGCTGCAGGGCCGCCTGCTCCACGCGGCTCAGCAGGTGTGAGATCTGAAACAGAACTCGAGTTACCAGCTCGCCGCAGTGCCTTACTAGGGCCTCTCCTTTGGGACGTTTTCATAACGCTACAGGAGATAGTAAGGGAGGGCCATTTTTGCTGACACTTCCAAAATTATCAAATTTGCACTTCTTTTTTTGTATGAAAAAGATAACGTCCCCCAAAACAAAAGCAGCAACATTGAGAAAACTGTAATTTGTCAACCACAACTAGCTGGATCATCCCTGTCCTGAAAGCACTCGCCTGCTCTCTCTTTGCAGATAGCAAATTCACAGGATCCATATGAGATACCTGAATTTATAAGATCTATACATCTGAACATAAGCAGAGTAAATGAATAGCAAAACACTGCACCAATACTGAGCAATATTCTTCAGTAATGGCTATTATATTGATAAATGCCTTGGATTTAACTGGAGCTATCCCATTAGTAACATAAAATATTTATCACAAAACCCATCATCCCTCTTTTTTATTTACTGGCATATATCTGACTGTGCAAGATCTGTGACAGTAGGTCCCTAGCATGATATCATGTTAAGGTACTACACTGCAGCTCCCAAGGAAGGTAAAGTGAACTTTAACCATTGACCTGCCATAAAATAAAGTGTTTTTGTTGCCTAGGAAGATGGGAAGGCACTGAGATGGAGACAGGCAGAATCCTTAACATGGAAAGCCTCTGCTCACAGGTAGGGCTCCCTTGCACTCGGGCAGAGGAGCAGGACACCCTGGCAGATGCATTACTGGGTCCAGAAGCCCTGGCCAGCTTTGGATCGCGCGTACGTGCGTTTCCGATCCTGCGGCCCACCACGTAACAGCCAACAGGGCTGGCGCCCGCGCGAGCACCTTGGACTAACACCGTACCTGGATCTCTGCCTCTTTCACTTTGGATTCAAGGATCAGTTTAGAGGTGTGTTGATCTTTACTTAGGCTCTGAAGTCTTTCATACGTAATTTTATGCTCTGCAGACAGTCTGGCTAACCCAGCATCACACCTGTGTGGATAAATGAGTACAGTCAGCAGCTGAATAGGCTCTAAGGGCCAGGCTTTTAAAACTGCTTTTCAGAATGGTCATCTCTGTGAGAGTGCTCAGCTGTCTAGCAAAACATCACCTTACAAAGGTCTAAGGATGCTGATGTATGTCATAATATTTGGAAAATTGCTCCCAAATGGGAATAGGAGACTAACTGATTACACTCCTATTTTCTCAGCTCTAATATAATAGGCATTAAATGTGTTATGGGGAAATCGCATAAGAAATTCAGAGATGCAGAATTTCAATAACTTAATTTATTCCCATACTCTACCAGGTAGTTGCTAACATGTGTATAATTTGACCTTTAGCTTCATGTCAGTAAGACACTTCAGAGTTTACTTATTATATGTAATGAAAAAATAATTACAAAGACCACTTTTTTTCTTTATTGTAACTGTTTTCTTCTGAGGTTTGCATTCTTATTTATACTTTTATTTGCAAAATAGCAATGCACAATTAATGCATGTAGTAAGAAATAGGAGGCAAGTTACAGCCATTTATCTATATTCAGCTATATTTAGCTGTCATTTAAAGCAGTGGCAATTTTGTCTCACTAAAGACTAAGAAATGCAGTACTGAAGGATAATAATTATTCATTCCTTTCTTCACACTGGAACATTTCTCTATGCTGTAACATTTTCAGACAAATGCACTATAGAATCTGTGCATTTTCTAGCACATTTCAAAAATGATTTTGTCAGATGGGTTTCATCTACAGTAATACAATCAGGGCATTAACTGAGCTGTAAAAATAGAGGTACTGTGATTCCAGGAGTAAGACTCTGAGAAGTATGAGTCATATATATTTTTTGGTTAAGGGAAATATGTAATGGCCAAAGTTACCAAATGTGATACATGAAGCTGATGTAGGACAGGCACCAGTGGACATTCTGAGAAAGAAAAATTAGTAATATTGGACAGCTGAGGCAGTTTAGGTCATTACACAAACCAGTGATGCATTTTAACTTGAATTAAAGGAACATCCCTCCTTAAGTACTTTTTGTAGGCTATTGAAGGTATCTGTAAATCAACTGACTTTGTAGTTGTACAGGTGTATCCGGGAGTTTGAAGTAGCTTGGAAAACCCCTGTTACTACAAGCATTTCTGCTCCTTGCATATCAGGTAGCCCATGTTGCTTTTAAAATGGCTAACCAAGAACTTGCTGCATGTGTTTTTACTTCTTAAAATATATGCAGAAAATGTGCAATTACTATGTTCTTCACAAGTGCAGTCTGTTCTGTGCTGCCTCTACAGTAATTGCGCTAATTAATTTGTTTCAAAGACAGACCAATCTAACCGTAGTCATTTCTGAAGTTAAACCAAAGCCAAACAGCTGTGGAATTTGAGGTTATTTGTTTAAGATAATTTGAGCAAGATTATCCTGGGAATTCTGCCAAAATTGAATTCAGCCCGTTATCAGTAACATTTGACATTCATGCTTCAAAACTAAGACATTTTTCATTGGTCCCCAAAATATTCTTCTGTATTGGCATTTACCTTGCAACTCTTCCCCGAAGATCTCCTAAACCAGAAAGCTGCCGCATTTCCAGACTCTTTAGGGTAGAATTTGTTCCGTAGCTGAGATTATCTCTGACGCGTATCTGCTCCTGCAGCATCTACAAAGCATTCATATGCAAATATAAATTCAGTATGTCACATTTAATGTACATTTAAAATGTCACTCCTTATTTTTAAGTAGTTCAATAAAATCAGAGAGGGTTTTATTATTTAATAAAACCTTTGTCTTGTATCATATTAGTACTTTGGGGTCACATCATGCTGAACCAAAAGGTACCTTTTGGCCATATATTATTTCTCATTTTTCCTGTCCAATGTGTACATAAAATACCACAATATGGATACAGGATACCTTGACAGTGGAATGAAGACTTCAAATATCCAGCTGTTTTTCCCACTACACCCATGTTGCTCATTGGAGGGAGGCCAGGCCTGAAGTCACCTGTCTGCATAAAGGTAGCTCCTAAAAATGAGTGCTTGCGTTTGGCTGTTTGTGTGGTCAGTAACTCGGAAGTGAGAGAAAGTTCCTGCAGATCTCAGGCGTTTCCTAGTGTTTATGCAGCACAGCCCTTGGACTGATTTGGAGCTGAGTATTAGTGTCACATTAATTCATTTTCTCTAGGTTTTCTGTGTGCCTCTTGAAAGCCAGATGATTAGTACCACAAAGGTTTCTGTGTTTATATGCTAATATCCTGAGCTATTTTGGTAGCTATTGAAAGAATTACATAATTTGCAAACAGTTTTTCAAGTTACAAAAACAACCTGCAAGCCTACAGGATCTTCAGATGTTATCTCAACTTCACTTATGGTGCGAGGCGGAGCAGCAGGGCCGGGGCTGGAGCCGGCGCTCGCGCGTACCTCGATGTCGCGGTTGAGCTGCCGCACTATGGCGGTGATGTTTCGGATGTGCTCCTCCAAGAGCTGCCGCGCCAGGCGGTCGCCGCCGCCCTTGTTCTGCATCCTGTGCAGCGTGGAGACGATGTCCTCCTTGATGCGGAAGGCGTGCTCCACGAGCGCCGCCGTCGTCTTCTCATGGCTCAGGATGCGGTCCTCGAGCTGGTCCACGAGGCTGGCGGACGCCAGCGGCACCGCTGTCAGCGCCTGGCTGTGCAGGGGCAGGTTTCGAACCCGTCTGGTGGCAAATGGTCAGAGATTGCTAAGTGGTCGCGCAAAACTCGCCGCTATCTTAGCAGTACTGTGAAGAAACATTAAAATACTCCCAGGGAGAGGACAAATGGATCTACTGTTTGCTACTACACATGTATCTGGTACAAAGGCAGGTGAGGATCTTTTTCCCTGCTCTTTAAGGAAGCTTGCAAAGGGACAGGATCTTAACAAAGGACGTTAGCATTATAAAAGTAGTTGCAATTCAGAATGATAATTTGATTAAGAACCCAAACTCCATACACTTCTATTGAGTTTTAGAAGTAATGCTTTTTGTGCAGTTTTCATCTTCATTCAGCCTGAATCAAAGTAGGAACTGTAGAAAGTAGATACTGCAAACTAAATATAGGCCGAGATTAGAAAGGAGTAGTAGCTGTGTCTACTCCTTTTTCCTGTACATCCAGCAATACTGTAATGCCATACAGAAACTTGTCCTCCTGTAACCTGGGCAGGAACAGATGCAGAAAATGAGAAGAGAGCAAAATTGTGACAGGTTTCAGTCTCAAAAGTCAAATTCTAAAAAAAAATAAAAAAGCTCTTCGCTGCTTTGCATCCCTGAAAAGCAATGGAAGCTCATTGATGCTCAAACTTTAAAAAAAAATCAGAAAAAATCAGGCTATTGATGCATGCAGTCTTTTCCAGCAGCTATGTTCTGTAAAAGGAAATTTTTCAAAAGTGTAAGCAGAAGGTAGAAGTAACTTATTTGAAAGAAGAGATTTTGTTAGTTGTGTTGTCCACGCTGTTTCATGTTAATGAGCCAAATTCACAATGTACTGTGATCATCACCGTAATGATGTTCATAGAGATATGTAAGGACTAGCAAGGGTGAGTTCTTGTCCTGACTTTTCACATGTATTCAATATCTTGGCCAAAGCATAGTATCCTTAAGCTTCAGTTTAAACTGTTCTTACAGTTTATGATATTTTTTTCCTTGAAAAAGGGTAAAGTAAAAGCCAAGTAAGGAACTGTTTGGGCCATGATTTGAGTGACTCTACGGTGTTTCACTTTGCATACTAAATGCCAAAGTTTGAAATTACAGCATTATTATAAATAGGGATTAAGAGATAGACTTAATACTCTGCAGTATGAAGATTGATTTTTTTTTTTTTTTTACATTCCAGACTTTACCTTTCAGAATGAGCAAGAGTTGGGAAGATAGGGCTTCTCTGGGCCATTTTCCAGTCAATAATCTGTCTGTTGAAAAAGTACATGTTGAATTATTTAACAGTTTATATCTGGCAGTGAAATTACTTAATGCTTTTGCTTTATGTGAACCTTTAAGTAAAGTTTAATTAAGATTATGCTGACACTTCTGTTCTTAGAAGATCAGAAGAGTCTAAAATACTTATGAAATAAATGCACAAAAGTTGGCACAAAAGAGCAAAAGAACACTAAAAACAACTAAAAGGCCTCTTATAGTGAAAATAATATTCCTGGAAAGGGCAAGGTTGAGAGTCTTGAAACCAAAATCTGCTATTGACCCACCAAACTGGTCTGGCAGGACAGAAACAACCTTCTTGTCCCCAGTCTATCTACTGGGCTCAGACCTTATCAATTGGTGAACACAAAAGTAAAATACACAAGATTGCAGTGAAGCTTAGGAATGCAGGGGCTAAAGAATTCCATGCAAATATTCCTGACAACAGATCTTTGGGTAAAGTGTTCCTTATGTAGAAATACCTGAATTAACTTCAGTGATTACTGTGATTGAGCAAAACAGTCTATTAACCAATTGTTTTCAAATCTGAATGGCCACTCTTTGTATGTGATAAGTATCTAAATTCTGTTTTTAATTGTTAAAGCCAGACAGATTGTGATGGACATTGAAGCAGGACAGCTCTGTTAAATAGCTTCAGTAAGACATTTTAGATGTCCTAGTGTATCTTTGCTCTGATGACAAAAATCAGAAAAATAAATAAAAGTTTGGTAGCCTTACTCAAATCCTGCTACTCTACCCCATAAAAAACAAATATGTTTAATCTGCAAATATAAAGATGGTGAGGGAGCATGACTGTGCTGCTGGAGGTCTGACCCTGAATTCTCTAGGATCCTAAGATCTTCCCTGAAAACTAAAGGCTGATCTTTGAAAACAATTTTGCATTTGCTGATGAAGCCTGGCGCACTAAGCCATACAAATGGAAAGGGAAGATCAGGGTTATTTAAACAGAGTCATCAACTTTTGAAATAAGAAAGTGGTAGGAGTATCCTTGGAAATCTCAAAATGCAAAGCATGCTTGTGCTTTAGAAACGTATGAAAGCACTGCCTAAAACCCAGCGAGCAAACATTGTCACAGTGTGTGTGCTCTATTTATAGCACCGTGCTTCAGAAACTACAAATTAGAAAAAAATAGTTTTAAGAGAGGCTGGGTTGCTGAGCAGCAGTGGCACTAGATTCGGAAGATCTCGTTTTAATTCCTTGCGCGCTCTCTGATCCTAGTGGCTTTGGACAGGTTATTTCCATGCCTAGTGACTCGGTTTCCCCGTATTTAATGCAAGATCAGGATACCCACCTCCTTGTGAAAGTTCTTACATGTCCCTGCGTAGGAGGCACCAGGTAGGAGCTGGGGGTGCCCGCGAGGCCTCCTGTGCTCGCCGCTCTGCGCGGGCGCCCTTGGGGCTCCTGAGCCCCTCGGCCGTGAGCACAGCTGAGCTCAGCTGTCCTCAGACCCCTGCGCCATGATCGTTTTAACGATCTTGGTGCAGCAAAGCAGTTAAACACAGGGGTATCCCACTGACTCAGATAGAGCCGTGCCTAGCGCAGCAGCAAAGCACTGGCTGCTACCTCAAAAACCGAAGAACAAACACTAAAGTTTTAAAATGCACATCTAGCAATACCTCAATAGGCTACTCTTTAGAAAAATAGTGAAACGAAAACTGCTCAGCTTACGGTGGTTTCATCCTGTGGCCTTTGGCATGTATTTCGTATCAATTCAAAAAAACATTTGGAACAGAATTAGCGTAGGATTGCTTGAAGTTTTTACTTTTTCTTCCTGACTGCCATTAGCCATACAGTTAAGCACAAATGTGTGGAGAAACTGTGCACATGAAACAAAATGTACACAGATGGACCTCTCCTTCATTTGGCATGGTTAATTTAAGCACATCAGTGTGCGCTGAGATCTCGCCCAGTCACCCATCAGATTTCCTAGTTTGAGCTGCTCCAGCATCCAGGAGGGATGCGGAAGGATCCTGTTCAGCAAGGCACAAAACTTTGTTGCAGTTTGGAGGTATTTGCAGTAAACAGGAATAGTTAGGTGTCAGAATTAACATGTTCCCTGTCTGTGTGTGGTACTCTTTCAAGTAATAAATTTAACCTAAAAGAAATGTTATTAGTAATAAGATTTAATGCCTAGGATAACACCTGAGGAGTGTTTTTTCATATAGCTCCAGATTTAGTGGCTGATAGCAACCTAGATTGCAGCTGAAATACTGGCTTTAAGTGTTTTTTTTTTCTTTTCCTTTTAATGAGGTTTGATATTATCAGCAATTTAAACCATAATATATTAACCCAGTAAATTATGAGTGAATTCTTAAATTTAATGAATATTCCAAATATTGTTGTTCTAGGGAAAAGGCAGCGATTTCTTTCCCGATTAGAAGTGACATGCCCGATTGCCAAAAGAAGAGCCGTTCACCTGCGATGTAAAGAGGCTCTTCCCTGCCGCCCTCTAGCCCGAGTTAGTTGGGGTGTTCCGGGCCGCAGCCGGGCTCCGCGGGGCAGCGGCGGC